TTTGTCACTGAGAGGAGGAGAGTAAACAAGGAGAAGATGCTTCACACAAAGTGTGGTTGAAACCCCCTCCCACCACACCTTTCCCTGCGTCCGATATATTGTTGCAACTTTCCAAAACAGACAATCACGCACAGGAATTTAAAGTATAGCGAATCCTTTACACCAACCTCTTGAGCCACAAACAATGATTTAAATGCAATAATCTGAGAGGTTTGGAAGAGAAATGTCCCTTTGGTGAAACTTCTAAGAACTCGTAGACATCAGAAACATAACAGGCAGCCACAACTAGACTCTGCTATTTTGTGAAGGGTTCATGGTATAAAATGGATTTACTTAAGTAAAGTACAAGTATGAAATGTATTAGTATAACGAGCGTTAGTGGCTACAATAAAAATACAGTCAATAAACAGGATCTGTGAGATCATTCTTGACATAAATTAACTGGAGAAAGTGGCTCGTTGGTCTAGGGGTATGATTCTCGCTTAGGGTGCGAGAGGTCCCGGGTTCAAATCCCGGACGAGCCCGTTATTTATAAAGGTACAGTGATGGTCATTAGCAACATATGAAAGTTGTTGGTGTTATTTCAATGCTGCATCATTATATAAACCATCATAAACCAGCGTGTGACCAATTACAGGAAAAACCAACTTAACCTCTCTTAGTGTCTGATCTCTACTGGAGGGATGGAGCACTGTTTTTTCTAGTCTAATCTTTGTTTTTTATTTTATCTTTTTGTGTAATATTTTATTAGGGGTTTGTTGTATAAAATGAATTTACTTCAGTAAAGGAAAAGTACTAAATTTATTACTGTGTTGCAGCCTTGATGCTATAGTGAACATTAGTAGCTACAATAAAAATAAACACTGTCAATAAACAGTGTCTGTGAGATCTTTAACATAAATAATTATCTATAAGTGGCTCGTTGGTCTAGGGGTATGATTCTCGCTTAGGGTGCGAGAGGTCCCGGGTTCAAATCCCGGACGAGCCCATTGTTTGGTCATTCAAGCACCTCTGAACTAAAAGTATATGTCAAATTGTGCTTGGTCAAGTCTTCTCCTGACACAATATACTCTAATAAGCCCAATGTTTGGAACAACACAACAATGGTCCTTAGCAACATATAAGAGTTAGAGGAAATGAAAAATGAAACAAACCTACTGATTGTGTTAGTTGAAGGAGAAGAAAAGCAAACCAGCCAGGCTAACCTATCATGCAAACCACACATTCATCTGTGTGTTCATTAACAGCTGGTGTTCTTGTCTAAAGTTTGCTCACCTGCTGAGTGTTATAAACCGCTTTGAACAAGTGATGAGCCTATAGTCCCATATATCCTGTCTAAAGAAACACATTTAATCTCAGGCATCTGAATGTTCTGAGTACTACAGTGTACCGTTGCTCAAGTCCAACTTTTGCACATCATTCTCTCACAAACACTTGGACATGTTCTGTCCGATCAGGAGACAGTGATGTGATTGTTGAACTGTGGGGGTATAGCTCAGTGGTAGAGCATTTGACTGCAGATCAAGAGGTCTCCGGTTCAAATCCGGATGCCCCCTGTATCAGATTTACGGCACTTCACAACAGATATGCTGCCAATGTCCAAAAGATGTCATCTATGTCATGCATGATAAATAAATGCAATGTTTGACAACCTGCGTATAAATAAAGTCTTTAACTTTCAAAAAGCAACAGACGAACTGGAAGAAATGTTAAACAGGGAAGTGTTATTCACTTCTAACTCCTGTACTCATCTCTTGCATTATGACATATGACATGTTTGTTTGTAAAGAGTTTGCTTTGTACTTGCGCACTTCAATTGTGAGTGGCTCTCAAGTTTATTATTGTGTCACAGCGCTACACTTGATGTTATAATGAGTGTTAGACTAGCTACAATAAAAATAAACACTGTCAAAAACCAGGGTCTGTCAGATCTTTTGTGACATAAATCACACAACACAAGTGGCTTGTTGGTCTAGGGGTATGATTCTCGCTTAAGGTGCGAGCGGTCCCAGGTTCATATCCCGGATGAACCCGTTATTTGGACTCATGCAGTCATTGTAATTGGCAGAGCCTTCAAGTGCCTCTCTCAGTTAAAGATGTATCTAAAAATGTAAAAGCTCTTCGGTCATCCTCCTAACATATGTTTCTCTGACTCTTATTGGGAATTATGGGTCTAACAACTCAATATTTATTCAGTAATTCAGGTCTGATTGTGTGTCTATTTGGGCTGCACATATCTATTTAAATGAAACAATCTGAGATGTTTGGAGTGGAAATGTGTCTTTAATGAAAGAATCTAGCCTGAGTATATAAAATTCTTTCTTAGTTTGTCTGAATACTTGTCTGCTCAAGCACATAACTGCATAAATCACATGTCCTGTCCTCTAACAACAGCAAAATTGCTTAATCATTTAAGTTGTTTATCAAACACTTAATGAATATACTATAAAATATAAATACTCAGCTTAATCAGTAATGAATATAATAATAATTTGTTGTAGTTTCTGTTTCCCCGAGTGCTGTCACTGCAATATAAAGCTCATACATTCAATCTGTTCTAAGAGAGTAGAAGAAGAAAAATCTAAAAAGAAAAAAAGCGTAACAAATATTTTCTCCAATCACACATAATGATTGTCTCACCCTGCATCGTGGTCTCCGAGTTAAGTTTGTCAGCCTGCTCCTGTAGCTCCTTCATCTCCTGCCTGTGTTGCAGCTCCAGGACTTTTCTGCTTTGTTCAGCAGCCAGCTGCTGACTCTCCAGGCGCTCCGCCAACTCCTCCACCTTCTTCTCTTTTGCAGCCACGGCACGTTTCAGGTACTCAGTGACATCTTTCTTATCCTTCTGCAGCGCGCTGTACTCAGAGGAGAGGTCTTTGTTCTGTTTCTCCAGCTCGACAGATTTAAGCTGACATCTGCAGGATGAAGAGGGACACGTTCAGGGCTTCAGGGTTGTATGGAAAAAATTTTTTTGCTGTGAATAGCGTATCTAAAATTAAATTCTAACTGCACTGACTACATCCTCTATCAGAGAGTTTTTATCATGCTAAATATGAGACAGAAGCATGACATTAATAGTGAGGTGAAATATAGTGATAATATATATTCTATATATCTGTTTTACTTTGTGAAACCATGTCAGTAAAACTTAAATGAGGTGAGTAAAGCTAAAAGCTTTGAGGCTAATCCACCAAATATCGTACAGTTTTTTGTATAATTTAGTATATTTGTATTTTTTTTTGCACTTCTTTACAAAAGAAATGTGACTCAAACTATCAATTAGAGGAACGTTAACATGGGGAAAGAAATAATTGGAAAAAAAAAAAAAACCTTAATTAGCAACTATTTTTATAATATATTAATTCATTGCTCCTTTTCTTTGTCCTGTATGATAGTAAACTGAATATCTTTGAATTTTACGATAATAATTTGATTTTTTTTAAAAGCTTTTTGAGTCCATGGCCTTGGGCCCTGAGAAATACTAATCAGCAGTTTTCAATTTAAAGACAAAGCAATTAATCAGGAAAAATAATCATCATTTTAATAGACAATGACAATAGTTCATAGTTAGTTGCAGCCTTAGCTAAAGCGCTTCGTGCAATAAAAACACACTTCCTTCCCAGCAGTCTAAATTGAGGTTATACATTAGGTCCTATTAGCATTTTTTTTTATTTAGCATGGTGGCCATCTTAACACAGTGCTATCTTAAACTGGTGCTATTGCTAATTTGGCTAACATCACTTTGGCTAACTGAAGGACTTAAAATAAAGCGAGATTTTTAAATATTAGATAAAAACTAAGATATACATCTGCATTTATACATCATTCTGTGTTGAAAGAAACTGTTAGTTGACAATTTATTCCCACAAAAAGAGAAGTTACGTTAGCTCTGCAGTGAACGTTAGCAGTCTTACCTCTCCAACTGCTCATCAAGATACCAAATTTGTACCAAATACACCGACTTTTCTTTGTTACCAGAACCGATTTTATCCGCCATAGTTATGTATTTATCTTTCCCCCGTATATTTATTGGCTCTATGATATTTATCTCTGCCTTTTTAATCCTTCATTCAGGACATTTTCGAAGTTTACCGAAAAATCTCCTCTGAGAAACTAGTTAGCTAACTAGGTTGTTGCTAGGCAATGCTGCCTTCAGGGACAACTCGTAAAGTTCTCTGCTTAACACAAATAAACTAACCATTGTCAATTTTCCGTTTCAAACTATTATTTTTTTATTTATTTATTGCATATCATTTCTAAAATGGGTTGGTTGCGTCTTTAATGTCTACCTCAGAACATCTTCCTTCCCTCCCATTCACCCACCCATGAATACACTTTATCATATCTATTTATGATTATTTATTTCATAATTTATTATTTATTTATTTATTGAACACTGTATTGTCTTCTTCAGATGAATCACTTTCATCCTGACAGAAATTAAAGGTGGAAACGCTGTAAAGTGAATGTGTTTAGGCTTTAAAATCAGAAACAGTGGTCTCTGTGCTGCTCTTTGAGAATTAGTCTGGATTACATCAAAAAATATTAAGAAAATGTAAATTCAACTTACTGAAATGCAAATACCAGTAAAGGACTTGACCTCAGAGGAGAGGAATAAAACTGAAACATTGCTGCTGTGTGGATGAAATAACAGCAACATCACTATGGCAACAGTTACAGACACATATACACACAAAGATACGGACATAAACAAAAACAAAGCACTCATATATGCTCAGCCCGTATGTCAGGTCAACCTGACACTCTGTAATTGCTCAGTTTATAGTCAAGATCTGTGCCGTGAATGAACAAAGCAGCGAGGCGGCTGATCTGAGTGATGTCTAATTTCTATTTTCATATGCAGCAACATTCACCAGTGATTCACAGGAACAGATTTGCATGCTGCGTATTTTTATTTCCTCTGTAAGGACCCTGATCATATCATTCTGCTCTGAAGCTGAGAGGAATGCAACAGTATCCATCTCCGCTCGGCCTCTGCAACCATGTTTGGCTCTGCTGATCTGAAGCTGTGCGGCACCGCCCTCCTGCTGGTCCTGGGATCGCTCGCCAACATCTTTAACCTCGTGGTCATGCTGGTGCAGCAGTGGAGGTCCGGATGTGTGAAAACCGTGGCCGTCATCATCTGCTTCATCTCGCTGGGCAACGTCCTGCTGCAGATCTCCACCTTCGTCCTTGTGGCCTCGGTCTGGGCTGTGGTGCTCTGCTGGCCGGACTTACCTTTCTTCTTCTGTGTCGTCCTGTTCGTGTGGTTCAGCAGCAGCTCCGTCAGTTTCTGGTCCGTGGCCTGGCTGAGCGTCTTCTACTGCATGAGGGTTCTGAGCTTCTCTTCAGTTATATTCAGAGTGCTGAAGGAGAACATCTCGACCATCCTAAACGTCTTCCTGGGGTTGACCTTACTGACCTCCTGCGTGATGTTCACCCCTTTCTTCTACCTCAAATCCCAAAACAAAACTCTTGTTCCAAAAAACATGACAGAAAGAGCTTCTTGTGTCATCAGGAAGCCCCTGTTACCTGCCTGGGTCGACGTCAACGTCTATGTGGTCATCTTCATCTGCTACCTCGCCCTGATGCCCTTGATGATCATGCTCCCCACTTCACTGAGGCTGGTCGTCTACCTCTGCAAACACACCTTGTCCATGCAGAACCAGCAGAGCGGTTCTCACGCTGCAGAGTCGTACCTGCTTGTCTGCAGGCTGACGGTCGCTCTGGTCTGGGTTTACCTCACCACGCTGCTCACCATCTCCCTCTACTACTTCCATGCGATCTTCGCCTCTGGGCTGAGCGCGGACATGCTCTTCCTTGGCTTGTCTTTTTATTGCACGGCTTCTGCGATCCTCCTCACCTGCTCCAACAAGAACCTGAGAGAGAAGCTCAGAGTGCTGATCTGCAGCGGGACAAACACAAACACATTGGCCCGGAGTGCTGAAGATAAGGATGGAGTAACAGCAACAGTTTGACTGAGTTTTACTTGAGTGACATATACAGCATTCGGCATACTCTGTAATTATCTTCACACTCTGTACTATGGATTATGTCCTGTACGGCTCTAACTCTTCAGTTATCTGAAACAGGGTTTTACTGATTTAAGCTGTGTTCACATCATATGGAACGGACAGCAGAGATCGGTGAGATTCCCATGTTTTGTTTCGTCATCAGACAAAACAGGTGTATGATTGTGGAGTTGGTACTGGGCGCTGACAAGCTGTTGAAAAGGAGCCTGTGACATCACTGGGTGTTTATTTGAACATCTGTATCCCAGTTATGAGGCTTATCCCAGTTTTAATCAACATACCCATGTATATGATAAATACTATAGTATCCCAAACTTTGAAATCATTAATCTGACATTCCTGTAATCTTTAACCTTCAATTCATTTGACCACAGCTATTGAGAATGAAGCCACTTTGGCTTACGCCTGTGAAGACTCATCAGGTCATCAGTATCTCTTAGAGCTTTACAAAGGAAACTGGATCTGTTTTATATTTGTACTGCTCTACATGTCAGAGGGAAATATTGTTCTTTTTACTGCACTACATTAATCTGACAGCTGTACCTACTAGTTACTCTATAGATTAAAATTCTACATAAAAACACATGATAGATTTCATTATTATGGAATAAAATAAATGCCCAGCAGCCAAAGGGCCATGTGTCATGTTTCAAATGTCTATGAGTTTGAGAGTTGGAGGTTTTCTTCAAACTACTAGTTCTGCAAACTATTCAGATAGTTCAAAAACTGAAAACAGATTAGTTTAGAGGTTTGTTTTTTCTTCTCACGACCCCTCGGACTCATGTTGTGACCCCTCCCGACCCCTAGGATTTGAATCTGGGTTACCGAACAGTAACAGTAAAATGTTACATAGTGACGCGTCAGTTTTAAGAATTTAATAAATTTTTTTTACATTGTAGTACTGATACTTTTACTTGAGTAAAGGATACATACCCTACATCTCCCCCCCGCTGTTGCCAAGAGAAAACAAATGTTGAATGTGTGTGTGAAGGCAGTTCCCGTGTTGTTGCAGTTCCTGATCATCACCAGCAGAGGTCAGTAAAGTTCATAGGTTCCTCATCACCCCTCTCAGTTCACATCAGTTCATGTTTTGAAGTCATACCTGGTGGTGAAAGACAGTTTTGTTTGCGCAGAGATATTTGTGAGACAGTTGGAAACTCTCTCACCTCCACCTGGAATGCAGCCAACTGGAGCTGCAAGAACACGATGGTTATGAAATATAAAGAGGTCAGCTGTGACAATTAATCAAACTGTCTGACTGAATGTTTTTCCACCATGTCCTCAACATCGACCCCAGAATACCATTATGCTAAAGGCATAACTGACTTTTAGTTATTATACTTTACATAATTAGAGTATTATTATTCATACTTTAATGTGTAAGCAGGATATTACTTCTGGAGCTGGTTGAGCTGTAGCTCATTTTTAAACTATTTCATAGTATTACAACTAATAACTATTTCCATCATGGATTAATGACCTCAATTACATTCTTAATTAATTAATTAATTAATTGTTTGCTTTGTAAATATTCATAAATCAATGAGAAATGTTTTGACAAAAAAAACAAAAAACCTCAAAATTATTAAAACTAAGGAAAAGAATCAGGTTTTTTGGTCAAGTTTTTTGCGAACTATGAACAGGAATCTGTCTCTGAATCAATATTAGTTAATGCAGTTGTATGATCATGCTTTTGTTTATAGCTTTAACACCTGTAATAAGTGTCAACAAGGTTTACGGCGCTGTCTAAACATTTACTTAAGTTCATTATTGAGCTGGGAAGTAGTAGATTGATGATACAATCACAACTCAAGGTCCACTTACTGGCTTTGCCAAAAAAGTTTTTAAACATGCTGGCAGTCTCCATGACAACTGAGTAAACTCTAATTGGTGATGAAGACTACATGATGTGGTTGAAAGCTCTCCAAAAGCTATTAAGTGGATCCTGAGTTTGGATTATTTTGTAGGATTCTTAAATGGTTGTTTTTCTCATTATTTTGTCATGAAAAATAAAGTTTTGGAAACATAAACATTAAAATATTCAGTACACACTATAAAGATAGAAGACAGAATCACCTTTAAGTAAAACAGGCCAGCACAGCACTGCAAATCCTCTTATAAAAGTAATTTTTATAATGGAATTATGGGAATTCTGGATCAGCCGCAGGTATTTTATCTTAGCGCCACAGTTAATGCTTTAAAGTGAAAAATCCTTTGAAATGCAAAAGATTTCAACCATGCTGGCAATCGAAACCCTTGACCACCCACAACATCAAACTTATTTTTTTATCACAGAAATTGCAGCAAATCAACGTTTGCTGATGTAAACTCAAAACAGGAAAACTCATTATTCGACCGCAGAAGATGCTGATGCATGACATCCTTGAAGGAAAACCCAGATTAGCAGCAGCAGCACACTTCCCCGGCTCTGTTTTGATCTCCCGTCTTTCCGCCTTCACCCCTTTTGGCCCTTTTGTTGTGGCGAGGGCTGCCAGGGGTCAGCCGGGGTCACGGCAAGAGGAGAGAACGAGGGTTAATGCCTCCAAACCCGCTAATAACCCCCGCTGTGATCCCCCTCACCCCCCTCCAAGGCCATTTTTCATAGCGCTCCACCCGGCCGGTTTGGAGGAGGCAGGCAGCTGGAGGCTGGGCGCTCCCATCCACGCGTCTGGTTTGCATTAAATGGACACATGTGGTCTTTGTTTTGAGAAGTGCGGCTGACACGAACCCATAACCAGCCGAATGAAAAATGGGTTTCTCAGGCAGCGGATTTAGGCTAAACTTTATTCAGGGTCAGCGTTTCACTTTAAACAGGAGGTATCTTAATGACAGGAAGCCTATGATTTGACTTAAGCCCTTCGTTAAGTATGATGGGCAGAGTATCGCTGTGATGTGGAACAGTTGATCTGAGACGGAGTTGGGACATGAGTCAGTCACCAGATATGAATCTATTGCCGAGAGAACGCATGTTGGATGTTTCAGCTCAGACTTTATATATCACATGTCGCTTTTACAGCTGCATGTTGCCGTAAAAAGCAAGACGACTCTTCTGTCCACGACTGAGATTTATACTCTGAGCTCGCACACAATAGCTCAGTGTATCACTCAGGGACACATGGCGGTTGATGGACACATTGGCTGTGGCAGGGATCAAACCTGTGACCTCTTTTATAACCAGACAATCTGTTTAACCATCGGACCACCCTGCAACGCCAAACAGCCACTTGATACTTTAATAAAGTTCCTTAAAGGATACGTCTGTCGTCAACAACAATGAAAAGTCCAAAACCAACAGTGAATATATACCAACAAGTCCATCTGATTCCTCTGTGCCATAGAGCCTCAAAATACTATCTATAACACCAAATGTGGATTCATCCGCCGCTGAAAATAGGACCAGCTGTTTCAGGAAGTTACTGAGTCTTAAAAGATATTTATTTGAGAGAGAGACCAATCTCAGCACCAGGTGTATTTAGTAGCTGTTCCTGAGCTTTCACTCATATCACACGCTGTTTATTAGCTGACAGAGTTGCCCAGTTGATGTAGGAAATTCCCATTTTTTCTGATCAATGTTTGGATGAAAAGCTGAGGTTTAAAGTTCAGTAGTTTTCATCACAATGTCCCTTTAGCAGATGTACTGCAGCTCTCGATGATATGACATGATCTTCCTCTGTTTTAATCACATTGGTTTAGGATTTGTTGAGAATAATAAAAATATAGAATAAAGACAGATTTTCCTTTGAAGGATAATGTTGGAGCCACTCTGAGGCATCAACTCTGAGGGGGTGAAAGTTACTTCATTTTCTTAATATGTGAGCTTCTGGGGAATTAATGCGCTGCCATTAATTCTTCCAAAGTACAGGATAGACATTACGAAACCAAGATAACGCCTTCAGTAACCATGAAGGAAACTCTTGGATAAGTATTTTCACATCAGTGTTACACTCTGCTTCTTTTCAATCACCTGAAACCAACAGGAAGATTCTCCTCCCCTCACTGAGCATCACTAAGCGTGAATACTTCACTTTGCAGAAACATGCACAGTAACTCATGTTCAAAAGACGGGAAACAATTGTTTGGAAGCGAAACATGCGAGTCTCAAATTATGGATATCCAATTCCCATGTCGAGTTCAACAAGCTCCAAGTCAAAATGTTAACTTTACTGAGTCCAAAACAATTTATAATTTGCCAAACGTAGATTTCCCTCCTGATTACACCACATGATTGGCTGCTGATGGATGATCTAAAGGTCCCATATAGTCTAAATGTCTCTGTCCTTGTGTATTGTAATTATAGATCAGGTCTAGCTTCTATATTAATACTGTGAAAGTATCAAAGCCTCAGTCCACAGAGAAATGCACACAGCCTGTATTCAGAAACTGAGCCTTAAAACCAGCCGTCAGGACTTCTGGAACTTTGTGATGTCACAACAAAGCAGTCACCAAGCCCCGCCCACCTGGACCCACCATCCAAACCTTGCAGGATTTGGTTGCAGGAGTGTTTTTACCTGAAATCTGCTATATTTTTATTGGATCACTCAGAAAACTGTCAGCCAAGAGAGACTCAGAGCCTCCTCTCTTCTGATTGGCTCACCGACCTGTTGTTACTAGAGCTCCAGAGAGAAGCCTGAGAGAGGAGATGTAAAACTACACTGAGATGGTTTTTGGTTCTTAAAACCACAAATATATCTTCTTATGGATCAACACTTAAAATATGGAGCTTTGAAGTATCTGTTGTCAGGAAAATAAACGAGTTAATTTGCAGCACACTTTTTATGATATTATTTTAATCTTTGGGCTTGGGGAGAAGTCACTCAAAGTCAGAACACGCATCTTTCTTGTTGAAGTCAAAGTCGAGATATCATTCTCATGTCTGTGGTAAATATGAAATTAGAACGAGCAGCTGCAGAGCTCAGCCTGCATCAAAGACCGGAAACAGCCTGGCT